TAGTATTAAAAAAAAAAAAAATAAAAAAAAAATGTTTTGTAATTATGAAGGTAAGGTTTTTGCACATGATTTCTCGTTGAGAAGGTAAAGGAAGTGGGTCAAATGTGGGTCAATAACTCGAGACGATACCAAAGAAATAGAAAGTACAAACTTATACATGCGGGTAAGAAATCAATGTCATGCAAATGTGTAAACAGCTTTAACGGTGCATTGGAAATTTTTAGGCCTTGAGAAAAAAAAATACATGTATATATTTTTTTTGCTAAGAGAAAACAATTAGGAATAATAGTTTGTCCATTGTTATAATTGATATTATTACGAAATTTTTTAAATTGTGAATGAACATGAAAAAAAATAAAAATATTTACGTTATTTTATAACAATATTTTTAAGATAAATAAAAATGTCTTAGTAAAAAAAATTCTGTTACAGTATTTTTTAAACGTATGAAATCGTGTGTACAATAATTTTTTAACTGCTTAGTGGCAAAAAACTTTATCATGCATTTCTCCTTAATCTAAAAATAATTAAATATCAGTAATAAGTTTATTATCAAACCCAAACCATATCCTTTGAAATTTCCATGTATTAATAACACACTTGAGAGAACTGAATTCACGACTGATGCTTATATTTTGTTTTTTTAAAGTCAAGTAGGTGGTTAACGTCGTAAAAGCGTAAGCTATGATTTATATACTCTGAGCGACTATCCGATGAAATCGCAGTACGTAAACGCGTGCGTGTACAGTTGCAGACACGATTACAATGATTAGTTTCGCAACGTGTAATCAGATAATATTCGGTAATTATGCCATACAAAACGAATACATATCGTTAGACACACGACACTTACGGTTACACAGTATGCTCAGTTTAATTTGTACGTGTATCAAATAATTTAAATTCATCAAACAATTTTATATCTTTATAACTCTCAACTTTAATTACACATATATTTATGTGGGGAAAGAATTATACACTTCAAGTCCCCAAGTACATCATTAATGTCAACGTAATATTTTTCAAAGAGTAAAATAATAAAACATTCTTGGAACATTGTTATGCTTATTATACGTGACATTTTTTTCGTGGTCGTAAACTTATACACTATGTTTATGTTACGATAATTTGGGGAATTTTTGTAGCTCTTACGCAAAAAACGTTACGAATACAATAATAATAACAAACGGTACAGATTACGAAGAATAGCTGTTCTATCATTGTCTTGACGAATGTAAAAAAAAAGATGCTTTTAAATGGGTTTTTTTTTCCACGGAAAGCATAAAACCCATCGTCACGTATAACAATAACGTCACATACACTTACCGACAAAATCGTTATCGCTTTGCCTACACATCATTTCGTCACGCTCAAGAAGCCGATTAGATAATCGAGTCATCCCGAAGGATAAACACGTGTCGTGTAAAATGCTAGATGACCGAAAAACAAAAGAATTATTCAAACCACTTGGGCAATGTCACTGTCAAACAGATAACATTAATAATAATAATAAAAAAAAAAAGACGGAGGAGCTAGCCGTTTACGCAAACGCGAGAGTATATATTATCATCTGGCGATCGAAGCTTTGATTTTCGCGCCGGAACGCAAGAATAGATATTACAGTCACGTGCAAGCTCAAGCTCTCTATAAAGCTCTCTTGCGTGCATACAATATAAATATGGCCCCGCGCGAGTCCTGCCTGCGCCAACTCCGTGCATTTATTATAAGGTTCGAAAAAAAGTGCACGAGGTGGGCTTAAGCGTGATACTTGTGAAAAAGTAAAAAGGAAAAGTAGAAACTTTTGACGCACTCTCACCGCGAGTGTTATTGTAATATACACAGGTATATAGGAGTAGGTACTTGTGAAGAAAGTTGCGGAACTCCCGGTTAACGCGCGCGCTCCAAACTTGCTCGACGGGAACGTAAAGTCGCGCGTTATGTTCTCGAAGGTTTCGACGGACATTAAATAAATTTCTCTCTCTTCCTCGTAAAAAAGGACGTAGGTATTTCCCTAAAGTGCAAACTTTATCGATGACGAAGGGGTAATTGGGGATTTTTGGTGAAGAAGAAGAAAAAAAAGCGCTGAAGCAAAAATATTTGTAAAATCTTGGTAGATGCCGTGGTGAAAGCACCAACAGCGGGGGAGCTGCTGCACACGTGATACTAGTACCTATACCACTGACCGTCATGATCTTTTTGCTGGGCACTTGGAGCTGGGCATCCTCGTCATCGGCGCTGCTGCGACACGGTCCGTTCGACGTGTCGACTGCTGCAGGCTCGAGCTGATGGCGTCTTCTGCTCCCGGCTGTAAGGGATGCATCGCCATCGGCTTTGCTGCTGTTGCTGCACCTTTTGATCATGTTGATGGGCTGATGTCCGTTTGTTTCGCTCTCGGGACAAGCCGCCGAGGAAGCAACGATCAGCTGCTGTACGTGGCACTTGAGCAGCGTGCCACGCGCCTCCAAAACCTTCGACGACATAAATGACACTGGTCACCAGGACACTCTGTTTTACTGGCACCACCTGCACCGACTCCTACCATAGGTAGAATTGATGCCCCGGACACGCGATTCTTCGCGTTGCAGCAGAGCTGGGCGCTTTTATACTAATATATATATATATACTCTTCCTCCTCCTCCTCCTCTTCCAGCCCCTCTCCATTGGCACTCGAGGCACTCGAGCAGATGTCGTGGATTTGCAGGGTATACATATAACACAACAGTTTTTGTGTTCCTCCGCCTCTCACTTTCTCGCTCCTTTCTTCCTTCCTCGCCAGTTTGACTGGAGCTGATGCCCATCACTTATACCGCGTTGTACCATTATATTTACCGATCTCGATGACTCGCGTTTTAATTTTTTTTTTCTCTAAAGCCTATACAAATACGTAGGTACTTATACTCTGCGTTCTCGTTTTTGACGTTTTCGGAGCAACTGAGCGAGCAGCCAGTACTTACACATGCACCATGACAATTGGTATATAAGATATACAACCATGCATGGCATGGCATCCTCGTCGTCATCAGCTGCTCTGCAGTGTTAAAAAATCCGCGCACGCGCGTCCAATGTGAGTTCTGAGTTGGCTCTCTTTGCTCTTGCTTCCTTTTCTGTGCTCCAATTTTTTTTTTTTTTCCTTTTTTTGCGAATAAAGTCCCGCATTCTTACACGCGCACATGTGCAGTTAAACAATTGTACTCATACGGGTTTGGAAAAGTACAACACAGATTATGACGGTTCACGTCTTCAGAGATCGGTATCCACGTAATACATGCAATTACCAGTCCAGGAATTGTTTTCATCTGCTACGTTTATTTTAAAATCAAGTGCGAAACCGCACATCTGATTGCTGATCTCGTTTACCGATCTTGTTTATCAATCTCTGTGCGATATGGGTGTTTATCACGTATAAACATACAATATTATATAAGTAGAGATGCGCAACAGTGGGGTCTATTTTATTGTTTTTATATATCTGTAGGGGGTTGGTCATGGGGGTTGATTGTTAAAAAAGTTTCACTGACTCCAATGCACAGTATAAACATATATTGGGAACGCGTCTAATATTTTTAATTATTGATTCTAAATTTACAAACTTTGCTGTAATTTCTCTATACTAAGTCACAAAAGATTCCAGAAATTCATATTTTTGTATGTAGCTATCTCGTTGACGTATATAAACATTATACCTAGGTGTACGTGTATTGACTCTCGTTAAATCATTAAAGATACAGTACGTACTTATGTGGTACAGGTACAGATAAGATAAATCCAAGTCAAATGAAAAACTGTGTTGTATTTTAAATACAATCCGCAGGGGCCGTACCATATTATTTTTTTTTTTGCTTCACAGGCCTATGTTATAACATAGGCCGATGTACAGAAAAATAGTTATATGGTACGGACCCTGATAAAAGGAAAAAAACAACAAAGAGAGTGAGCTGCATAGTAATATATATACACATACTGTGTATAAGGTACACATATGCAAGTACAATCGTTTCTAAGGTTTTGCTTGTGCAATCAAAAAAGTTCTCGTTCGTTGCTGGTTGTACATAATATACATATATGTATAATATAACGATACCCAACATCGACATACATGTATATGCAATGTATACGCATTAGGTACGTGTGCGCGTGATTATCAGGTCCGATTAGATTTTTTCTATGTCTCCTTCTTGGTTTTCCACAAGGTCTATCTGATGTAAAAATAGATTTTTATTTTACTTTTTTTTTCGACCTCCGAACGCTCAGTATACTGTAAAGGATACAGGATGTATTTCGCATAAGGTATTATTTCGTTACCGACTGGATTTCTATGTGAGATTTTACACAGGCGATATTGACCACGTATATACCCTTTGTCACAAACTATTTTTCAATGTGAAAAAAATTGAAAAAAATTGATTTTCTCCAGCTACAAGTGGCATTGAGAATTTACTTCAATTTTTTTGTTTGAACAGACTTGAGGCGAGATATAAAGATATCCTAAATCAGCGTCTCAAGTTTTCGGTATACGACGAATTTGGGCCAACAATTTATTCTGATATGATCAAATGTTTATTCTGAGATTATCAAATGTTTTTATGTAGATCTTGTTTTTCTGCAAGTACAATGCGTTATTTTTTCATTAGAAAAACAAGTACCGTTGATACAGTAATCAACAAAATATTTTCCAGCGAAAAATGGTGTAATATTCATCTCGAGGATAAAATTGGTTTTTAAGTATTCGAACACATGATTCATTATATTTAGTAAGAAAATAAAAAAGTAGTCTTGCTCATCGAGTATGATTATATACCATAGTATTATATCAAATTAAAATTCTTTTTGTCGATTATAATAAGTTAAAGACTAAATCGATTATAATACACGGATTTTCTTTTAAATTGCAATTTGTATGATTCAATACTTATACAGCATGTTTTGTACATTTTATCAGGAAAAATAAAAATATAGCTCATCAAGGCAAAAAAATTTCAAAACATTATTAATATACTTTCCAAACAGTGTGCTCTATCTATGGTGATAATTTGACGATGCATCTTCGAAAATATTCGTATTGGATCGAAGTTTATTTTTTGTTGAACTTTTCGATTAGTATCGTAATGTACTTACTAGTAATTTCCTAAAATATTTATAGAACTTGCAGTACAATAGGTATAAATAATCAAAAAACCAGAGTTTCAGGGGTCAATGGAAAAAAAAAAAAAAAAAAAGAGCTTTGGTATCAGATAATTGCTTCATGATGCTGCTCTTGTCTTGTTAAATTAAACAACTAAATTAAATACCATATTTACACTTTGTTATCTTTATGCACACTAACCATTACACGGTTGAGCAAAAAAAGAAGAATTTTACGAACGAATGATATATCCTTCCGCAAACAGAGCCACTAACACTTAAAGTAAATAGTTGCACGTGCGAATTAAAAATTCCGAAGTAAAACTGGGCCACTGGAAAAACAACTCGTATCTTTTATACTTGGATAGGATTGCTCGGGTTCAGGGCGAGATCGTGAGTAATTTCCCCACTTATTCCTCCTCTCGCAGCTCCCTTGAGTTTTAAGGAAGCGTTGAAAGAAAAAAGCTCGTGCTCTCAAGAAGTTTTCCTTTTTTTTATCTAATGTCCTCACTGTGTAATGACTTATCTATAAGAAATCGAATATATGATTGTATATGTAACTATAGTTAAATATCTGTTGCAAATAAACCCAATAGTAGCAACAAAAACTCTTCAGTACTCATGTTGAGGTTCTCGTTTTCTTTTACAATGGAGATTTATTGCGAGTATCGTATGAAAACGTAATTGTTGTACAGCTGGGTCAGGAAAATTAATTAACTGGTAATGAAATATTATTCAGTTTGCCCAAATTTTTTAGAAATAGTAGTAGTAGTAAAAACCATCTAAAAAGAAATCATTAGCAACACGAGCATGAAGCAACAATATGCAAGTATGCATATTTTAATAATCAACAGTATGACATTGAAAACGTCTGATGTTACCATTTCTTCATTTTGTACGTCTGCATGAGTGTTATTTTATAGTAAATTTTTTTTACGTGTTGCTAAACTTGCCGCAAACAGCATTAATCACGTTAACTTTTTATTTTATACCTACAAGATTAATTGCGGCTGGTTTATAATTGATTACATGGCTCTACTGTGAGTTGTAATAATTATTTGGATCAGCGCCATCTAGCGTTTCGGATTTCTGAACTAAAAAGTGGCCCTAAACTTTTGATCCGCAGCATTAGCGTTTAGAGCCATTTAGACAGTTATAAACCAGCCGCAACTTATTTTGATAGCTATAAAATAAAAAAATAACAGTATATGTGTTTTTGGCGGCAAGTTAACAATCTATTTTTTACTCGAAAATTTATCTTCAAAAGTATAAATACATAGGACGTCAATTTTTGATAGAAAATAGATTGTTAAGTTGCCGCCAAAAACACATATACTGTTATTTTTTTATTTTATAGCTATTAAAATAAGTTGCGGCTGGTTTATAATTGTTTAAATGGCTCTAAGCGCTAATGCTGCGGATCAAAAGTTTAGGGCCACTTTTTGGTTCAAAAATCCGCGACGCTAGATGGCGCTGATCGAAATAATTAATACAACTCACAGTAGAGCCATGTTATTAGTTATAAACCAGACGCAACTAATTTGATAGATAGTAGATAAAAAAATAACGTTAATTTTGATATTTGCGGCAAGTTTACAATTTATTTTTTATCCAAAAATTGACTTCCAAACGTATAGATATTCTACTTAAATATGGTTTGATAAAATCGACCAAATGGTGCTTATGCGTTTTTATGCAGATGTTGTGTCCAGGCTTCCATATAATACGATGCTGAATGGTGGTGTTATTTATTAAACCATGCTTTTCTCGGCAGATTTGTGACTGAAGATTGTGAGGAACGTGCCCATCATCTTTCACCGATATATCATGCAGGCGCATCGACTTTTACTGTACCGACGACAAACAGACTCGCATATTCCGCACCGTCGGTACGGTATAATTATTTTTATCATTGAAAGAAGTCAGCTGTACCGACGAGAGGTAAATACTGTGTACCGGAAGAGGAGCAGTTCTCGTACCCACTGTCGGTATGTCAGGATTCTTGCAATTTATAAAAACAAATCTACAGTACCGATGATAGGTACTTCTTCCTTCTACTTTTTGTTGGAAAATGTCTAGATAACGTTGATCCCGAGATCTAAAGGTTGAAGCTTACTAGAGTTTTTGTTGATGCATTTTGTTAATAAATAAATTAAAAATGTTAAAGAAAGTTTTGACATTGGGTCAATTGTGTTCAAATCAGTTAAAAGTGTTCCCCAGTCAATATATAATACGGACATTAAGAAGATTGTACTGCAGTAAGGTAGAAATAAAACGCTTGTGATTTTCATGGTATAAAAAATGTTGGTATCAATAATCAAATTATTGTTGTTTAAGGAAGCAAAAAGTATATATCCTAAAAGGATATTCTCGGGGATACAACCGACCGGCACTGTACATCTAGGTAATTACTTAGGCGCGATTAAGGGTTGGGTCAATTTGCAAAATGCTGGCGAAGATGTAATTTACAGCATTGTTGACATGCATTCCATTACCCTGACACAAGTATAGCTTCTTGCTTTATTTATTTTCTATTGGAAATGTTTTTACAATTGTTTAATGATTTTCTATTTCAGAAACCCTTAGAACTCAAAGAAAATATCATAAAGCTCACAGCTACTTTGTTAGCCTGTGGAATCGATCCAAAAAAGAGCATCTTGTTTCAACAGTCAGTTATTCCAATGCACGCGGAATTGAGCTGGATATTTTCATGTCTAGTGACAATGCCTAGACTAGCTCGTCAACCTCAGTACAAGGAGAAAAGTGAAACCTTAAAAGACGTGCCTTTAGGTTTATACATTTATCCTGTACTACAAACAGCTGACATTCTATTGTACAAGTAGGTAATTGGTATACCAGAACTCATCCAACAAAATTTTTTGTACATCAGCAATTGTTTTAAAAATTTTTAATTTTAATTTTCAGAGCTACACATGTGCCTGTAGGTGAAGATCAGGTACAGCATATACAGTTGGCTGAACATTTGGCCCAAAAATTCAACTCAACGTTTGGTAAAACGTTTCCTATGCCGATTTCAATCGTTAACAGTAAGTGTTTTACAGGAACTTTCGATTCCTTGATCATCAAAAATTAATATAGGTTTGTTTTGAGCAAGTAAAAACTTTAGTTTGTTTATTTATTTCGAACTAAAGTAGCTGCTACCTTTTTGCTTGTTAATATGAATATATCATTTCATTATCAACAAATTTCAGGGGATGCTGGGCGCATCAAAAGCTTAAAAGATCCAGAAGTGAAAATGTCCAAATCATGTACAAATGTCAAAAGTCGAATTGATTTAACTGATACTCCTGATGACATACTTATTAAAGTGAAAAAGGCAATCACAGATTTCACGTCGGAAGTAACATTTGATCCTGAAAATCGACCCGGTATAGCTAATTTGATCAATATTCATTCTATGCTTATTGATAAAACTCCAGAAGAAATTTGCCAAGATGCCAAAGGTTTAGATACAGGAAAGTAAGTTTTATCCTTTTTTTAAATTTTAATATTATTTTATAAATGCGCCAACACGCTACTGAATTTTTAGATACAAGTTGCTTCTGGCAGATATAGTTATCGAAAAATTGAATCCAATAAGGAAAGAAATAGAAGCGTACTTGAGTGAGCCTGAGTACTTGCATCAATTATTACAAGAAGGTGCTCGAAAAGCCGAATCTATTGCTGTTCCAAATTGGTTAGAAGTTAGAAATAAAGTAGGTTTTGGAATTGACACATTGTCAATAAATTTAAGTAGTAAAAGGTCTCAAGCCATTAGATGATTGTAAAAAATAAAGTAAAATTTTATTGTAAATAAATTACTTTGTACAAATTAGACAAGGATTAATACATTAGACGGCTCTTCAAGTAAAATAATGTTTACAGCACTAGATGTTACAATTTTTTAAATTTTCATCTCATGTCAATAACGACCTTTCCTCGCAAATGTCCTTCGCCTACTTTTTCATATGCCTTTGGTAGTTCTCCAAAACTATACACCTCTTGCACTACTGGAATTATCTGTAATTTATGTTTTAAGATTACTCATCCTTTCAATACTTACATTTATTTCTGCAAAAAATTGTTTGATTTTTTTTTTTTTTTTTTTTTGGATAAAGATTATCTGTCACCTGTTTATTTTCAGCCAGTTCTTGAATTACGTTGATGCCAGTTGGAGAAGGAACAAAAAATCCCCATTTAACAAAGCTTTGGTTTTCACTAGTTGGAATATTGTATTTTATCAAGTCACCAAGATTTTTTATGGAACCAAAGAGTAGTCCATGTTCATCAATGTTTTTTAACAGTGGTGAGTTTAATGTTACGTAATTACTGTGAGGGTAACCTTTCAATTTAACAGTGTCTGCCCCTTGATTACTGCAGTCTAATATTATGTCATATCTATAAACAAAAAATACTACTCACAAGCGTGTCGAATTATTTTCAAATAATGGTGTGCTTTGAAACTTACGGTCCTTCTGCAATAACTCTTGAATCGGCATCACTTTCTTTATAATCTATAATTACATCTGCACCTAAATTTTGTAACATATCTATTGCATCAGCACTACACGTTGTGACGACCTAACGTAAATATTTTACATTACTGTATTGATTAAACGATTCTCTAAAGCCTTACTAGGAATAACTTACTTGAGCATTCCATGCTTTCAAGAGTTGTATTGCCAAAGTTCCTACACCTCCTGAGCCTCCAAGTACTAAGATTCTTTTTTTTTGTTGTTTAAGAACAGTTTTGTAACACATTCCTCCTGTGTACCACAAAGCTGACCAGGCTGTCAGTCCAGCATACAAAATACTTGCTGCCTCTATGTAGGATACATTTGCAGGACGGACATTAACCTGGATTAATTAAATTTGGTAAATGATTGTCCTTGAAGTTAAAAAGAGGCATAAGAAATATTTCACAATTAGAATTTAGATTACCAAAGAACTATCTACAAGAACAAATTCAGCATGACAGCCTTGTTGTTCAATTGGCACGACTCCCCAAACTTCATCTCCGATCTTAAGTTTATCTACACCATGGCCCTTTGAAACAACTGTACCAGCAAAATCTCTTCCCAAAGTCAACGGGAACTCGATATCACTATAGGGCCTGTTTTCGCAGCAGCCCTTGGTTTTGCGCAAAAGATTCAGAGTCGTTGCTCCATAGCTACCTAAAAAATCATTGTTATTGTTTGAAATCAAGTATAAGTACCTACAGGGTATTTCGTCAACTTACGTATCATGGCAACATCGATTGGATTGACACTAGCTGCATCTACTTTGATCAAAACATCAGACGGTCTCGTCAGCATCGGTATCTTGGCCTTTGTCAATTTTAACTCGTCCAAACCTCCATAGCAGTGTATTTGCCATGCCTGCATCTTGTCATCTGTGACTTCTTTTTGTTTTATAGCTAATTGTGAAAAAGCTCGGAGTTGGGCAAGCCCAAAAACCCGTTTGGGATTCACTATCGTAGTTATTTTCATCATTTTTGTATGGTCTTGTTAGTTGAGGTTCTAAAAAGTCTTTTTTATTGACTATTTATTTGTGCGCTTGTTCCTCCTATCCGTTAGTCGTAACTGCTAGATGTGGATGGATGTGTTATTGTCAATACTTGCAATATTTGTTGCAAAGTTTGTAAATGCCAAGTTTTTCTTATATTTACAAAAAAAGTGAGAGCCGACGCGGTATTATTGCCGGATGTACGTACTTACGTCATGTTTTTGTTGTCACATGTGATTTTACGTGCAACGTTTGTCACGTGAGTCAATTAATTAATTGTAGTCTGATCTGTCATGTAACAGCACGTAAGTTAGGCTTTATTTGATGCTACATCATAATCCTTATCCCCTCTTTTTGAATGTTTATAAACATTAACTGCGCCAGCGCTTTGTCTATCTCTCTCTGCACAGCTGACACATTCCGATGAGGGGACTGAGGGGGGTTGCGTTCGTGTCTGAATGGCTGAAATGTCTAAAAGTCACCGCTGATTGGCTCTACCATTTGCAGGCGGTCAAATTTTTCGGCGGACGAAAAAAAGCACAACTCACATTTATGCATGTCATTTTACATAGAAAAATCTGAGTTGAGCTTTTCTTCGTCACCCAAAATAAAAAAACGTCCGTAGCGTTTCTGAGCCACGAGTTTTCTCGCGAATAACCGTCCGATAGATGGCGCTGATTCCAAAAATGACTTTCGCGCCTTCGCGGTCTTCGGAACGTACCCCCATTTACCCACACAGCTGATAATTCAAAGGTGAGTTGCTTTTTTTCATGTTAAATAATCTATTTTATTGATTATATGGTTGTATATCCGTGTAAATTGTGTAAGTACACATCATAATCGTACTATTAGCTGTACCTATCGTGAGAGTAAAAAGCATATTGTATAGGGCCAGGGCCTGTCATGCATATCTTTTACGTTAAAATCAATAATTTTGGTAACTTTTATCATACACATGTACAAAGTAGTACATGGTCAATTCTCACCAACGATATCCATACACGATACACACGTACACAAGCCCTAAATTTACACATTCCGATTCTTTCCGATTGTCGCATACTCAGTAGTTAATCCATACACTTGTATTGATGATGTCAATGAAAATCGATTCGCCGTTTTGGAATTTTTAACAGCTCAGCGGTGAGTGTATCTCTCGGAGGAAAAGCGCCCTTGTGTAAAGAGGATGTGCTTGAATTGTCTTCAGCGCCAAAAAATTAATCCCTCACTGACCTTGTAACCACTGGTTACTGATGATGGCTTTGTATACTTATTCCCGGAGTTTTCAGCAGCTCTTTTGGGTTTTAATGATCGATCATCTCATTGAAAATAGCTGATCTGGAAATAGCTTGCGCTTCAAAAAATACAAACCTGCATCCCTTTTAACTCCTCGACCTCGGAGTTTTTCAACGTTACTTGCAACGAATGCTGAACTATAGGAGCCTTCACTGACAGCTCAATTTCTCGTCTGGTTGAAAAAAAAAAAAAAAAAAAAAAAAATATCCACCTCGTACTTCGAAACTTCAAAGGTTGAAAGAAAGTAAGAAAAAAACGCACTCCTTCCTGGGTTTCGAAAATATTGGCTGTAGTACACAGAGTCGACGAGTGAGTATGTGTATGTTGTACTCGCTTCGAGTTACAAACAAATCCCAAACGTATTTCTATCAAAGACACGTGTATCATACACTCACAGTTTTTTCCTCAACTTGCAGTTGTACACATAAATTTATGCATGAAAAAAAAAAAAATACACCATCTCCGCACGTGTAGTACATCACAAAAAAACAAAACTATCCATCTCGAAGGGTACACACATAATTACCACCAACCTCCTTTTTTTTTTAATCCTCGTGCATAAAATTTCCACGAAAAAGAATCAATTCAAAATCGAAGCGAGCCAAAAACGACACCACCGCACCCACCAACCCCTTCTTTTTTTTTTTCCCCCGCTGGCAGGGGCCGCGTTGACATTTGAATTTCATATCCCCGTCGGTTGGCTCTGGCTTGGCCCAGCAAATCACACCCGAATGAAAAAGCTCATAAAACGCGCAAAAGACACCGGAATATCAGGGCCGAGAGGAGTATTACGTTGCAGAGACCTACTTTCCTTCCTTCCTTCCTTTTTCCCTTGGTGCAAAGAAAAAAAAAAAAAAAAAAAAAAAGTGCAAAAGCACCTACACACACACACACATACCAGAGCTTGAGAAATCAAGCGCCCCATAAATCGCCCAAAGGGTGTACATATACATCCCCTGGACTGGTGTTAGCGAATATTATTATACATACTTGCAAATAGCCGCGTCCACGTTGCAATCACTCCGATCGAGGTAGAAAGGAGGGGGGGTGGGGAGATGTTTTTTTTTCCCCGCCGCACTTTTGAAATAAAGCTCGAAGACAAACAAGCTCCGCTGGGGAACGAAGCCTCGAGAAGTTCGCGAAAAAGAAGACGAGGGGCTGGTTCGAAGGGGAAAGATCCTCACGAAAGCGCTCGAGGGACTCGTAAGCCCCCAGCACGTATAAGGGAGGTATTCGTCGCGTACCTATATCCTCTTTCCTTCTCGAGCCAGGGATCCTTGTACATATATTAGAGATGAGGGCCCACCGAACGGTGTACGTATATATGTCGCGCGATAAATAACACAGGACTCGACGCCGGTGGCCAAAGAATTTTCGGGTTTCCTATATACGTACGCCTCGTGTCAATTATTAAGTGCCCCTTTTGTACAATTATATTTATACGGTGCGTGCAATTTGGTCAAAAAAGACGAGAAATTCATTTGTTGCATGTGATCTTTTATTTATTTATTTATTTTTTTTTCAATCTACAATACGTTGATAAAGGGCATATTATTACGCTGAAGTCACAATGGTTGTTTTTGCAATTAATTTACAGGAATACACTTTATTTGGCGTTATTTGCGTGCCGAAATATTTTACCCTGTTTACCTAGTGGATTTCACTGGGGCATCTTCAATTAAATATAATTTAATTTTCCCAACTGTATACAGTTAAACCGTATTTCCTTATTATTGTCGCGTCAATCGGGCATTGTATCGTACAATCCTTGTGTATGCACTTATTTACTTGTAGTGCCGAGAAATCGAGCGAGAAAGAAAGAAAGAGGGTCGTAGCTGTTTGTTTTTGTCCTCTTTCCTCCCTTCCTTGGATATTGCGCCTGCAGATACCGACTGGAGTTCGATTTTTATTTTAATTTATACGCGAGCTCCTCCGTCGGGCTGTGAGTTTTATTTCAATAATCGCCAGCAGCTCGTTGATTTACCTTCCGTACCACTCCACTTTCTTCCTTTTTCTCGCTCCTACTGCTGCTGTGATGGATTTTAAATTTGAAAAAAGAGATGAGAGATTCTTTTTTTTTTTTTTTTCGAACGATTTTCGTGCTCGGAGTTTATCGCCCGTAAATAACTCGGAACCAGGTCATCCTCAGCATTGTTTCTAAAGCGAATTCGAAAAGGCCCTTTGCTCCTTCAATTCCGTGGAGAAAATCGTAATAAAACACACGCACATAATACTAGAGCGCCCGAGAGTGCGGATCAAGTAGAAAAAGCTGGTTTTGGTCAGACGCGCCCGCGCGACGGTAGTACGGGAATAAATAAAAATTACATGAAACAAATTTTCCACCGATAACGGTGGAAACTGATAACGCGGGACGCGTCGCACAGCCTTTCAATAAAGCAAGAGTCTCTCGCAACCCCGCTGACTCTGACACCACCGCTCACTCGAAAAACTTTCCAATACAAATAGCAATAAACTCACAGTCAGCGTGAAAATCGCGAAACGCGCCCCTCCCCCATCCCTCTACACCCTTCGTTGCCAAGAGTTATTTCGACCCACTTATGTCTCCAAAGTTATAATAGAGTTCTGATCACCCCCCTCCCCCCGGGCTTTGGCTTTGTCAGTCAGTCGCACGCAACCGCGGCTTTCGGGAGTCAGTCCCGATGTATCTAAAAACCTGAAACGAGCTCATCAGCGACCATCCCATTAATCTGCCAATGTTAACAATATACGTACCGTATACAATAGCCCCCCCCCCCAAAAAAAAAGTCGGGGGGCGCGCGTTCCATACCGTGCATAATTCAAACGAGGAACGAGGCAGCTGCACGCGAAAGGGTTGAGGGTGTATAGAGACGGTGGAGCGAAAAATCAGATGAGTTGGTACGGGAGGAGGAGGGTGGGGCACGAGCCACGTGTGTGTGTGTATGGACGTTGGTTCGCTCCTCGTCCCGCAGATGTCGAGCTTTTCTCGGGCCCTGCGAGGCACCGACTTCTACAGGCCGCTCCGGGGCGCGGCTGGTCCCCCTCCCTCGATTTTCGGCTCGTGGCCGAGATGAGCCGGATAAGCTCGCGGGCGGCTCTCCCCCCGAGAGACAGTCGGCCGCGTCCGACCGAAGCCGACTCGTTCTACTTGCCACCGCGCAGCCGACGAGACTAGGTCGGCCCGACCGTCTCATTTGCTCCGTAATTAAACCATCATCCATCCCCCCCTCACATCCATCGCCGTACACTCCAAGCCGGAGTTGTTTGTAGTTTCATATTCCATCGTGTCTCACCTCTCCTGGAGTGCTTCTTGTCACCTCCTTGGCTCGCTTGGGCTCTCCGGCCACCAAAACGGATGGCCCTCTTTCTCTCTAGCCCCTTTGCGATCGCGACGAGAGACGGTCCGGCCGGGGGGTGTACTATACACACACACACGAGCGCGTCTCGGGCAGCAGCACTGAAACGCGCAAGCCCCGTATCGACCGGCGATCGCCATGGTTACGTTATAGCGCCGTAACACGCAGCTTCTGGGAGTTGGGCTCTCGGAGCGTCGAGTAGGTGTATTTACCTCTGGTGGAAAAAAAAAAAAAAAAAAAAAAAAAAAACACCGACCGCCGAAGCAACGCGCCCTCCCGATCGGGCCGATTTTTCGCCCACGTATTTTTTCGCTGTACAATTAAAACAACACCATTGAATCCGCGAGTTTGCCGCGCAATCAGCAGCGTCTTTTTGAGCATCGTTTTTTTTTTTGTTTCTTTCCCCTCGCGTGTTTACTTTTGAAATGCGAAACCCGGCTCACTCCGGTGATGGCTATGTATATATACGAAAGGGGTCTCGGGGGCGTGTGTGGGCGCGCCGGTGGCGCTGTCGACCTCCCCCGTTTCTGCGCCACCCTCACTGTAAAATACATGCCACGGCTGTATATAGCGCACACACCCTTTCCTCCGAATCGCGATGTTTGCACAGCAGGTAGAGGTGAAATACATGAGGGCGTGTACCTGTGCCCCGTACAGCCGTACATACGGATGGATTACCTGGGCGAAAGAAATGAAAATTCCACCAAGCCTTGTGCCAGAAGTACAAGCCACGCCGTGAACTAACCCTCCTCAACGCGTAACATACGGAGTTACGTGTACATATATACACCCAAAATTCCTTCGAGGGCGATAAAATAATCGTTGGGTATACCACCCCCTAACCCTCGCCCCTCTGGATGTACTTAATACATGTTTCTGCGTGCGTAGCTTTTCACGTAGCTTATGCTACACCCAACTGTTAATGCTGACTCTTGGAACTGCGTGTACATATAGGTATACACGCGAAAGAGGGGTGGGGGTGGGTGGTGGAAAGTTAGTCGCGCTGAGCTCGCAGTGGCGTGCAGTGTAACACAGCGACCTACAAAGCCGTACGTATACGTATATATGTACAAGGGGAGGGAGGGGGGAGGGTAAGCTCTGGACTACTCGGAAGAGGGAAAACACACGGAAGCCCCAAAAGTATACCGCTATACGGACCCGATGCGATAACTCGTTGAAAATCATCGTGTAATGTAGGATGGGTATTTGTCATCGGGCTGTCCGCTCAAAGGAGAGGACAACCCTCGGTTGGAGAGAGGGGGGGTACACCTGTAAGGGTCCCAACAAACGACTCTGGTCGTCTTTAGCCCCTTCTCTGGGCCATTTAATTTGTACTCGCCAATTCAGCGCTTGACCATTGCCGCCGTGGTAAACACACACACTGTGACATACAGACACACAGAGCTCGAGATGAGTATAGTCGGTAGGTAGGTGGTTATACATATATACATGTAATAGAAAAAGGGGCGAGGCGCTCCCTCGCATCCTCGACAGCAGCAGCAGCAGTATATCGCATATCCTTCACCTTGTACTTCCTTCTTCCTCTTACCGCGCACCTGCACGCCTATACGTATACATATTTATCCGTCCGTCCGTACGTGTATCATCCATACGTGTACGTTGGACGAGCAAGCGCAGAAAACTCACCCCCTATGGCCTATACACTAGTAGGGGGAGTCGCAGGCGCGCTCTGCCGTACCTACCACCCCCTTCCGACGAGAGGAGCTTCGTCGATCCCGCTCCGGAGGCAATAGCACACGGCTCGCTCGGTCGCGCGCTCGAGTCACGGCGCCACCGCCGCTGCCGCCTCAGTCCGCCGTGGGAGCGCCTCCAGGAGTCTGCGGAGCTCCTCCCGCTCTCTCGCTCGGTTTTTTCGCTCTCGCGCCGTCTCGTTTTTTTACCTTCCCACCCTCCCGTCTGTCCATCCAACTCTTCTTCTTCTTCTTTCTCCCCCTCCTTTTTCTCCTCCTCTTCCTCCTTCTTCTTCTTCTTCTTCTTCTGCATTTTCTCGGTCTCTGGTTTGCGCGCACAGCGGTGCAGCTTATAGCCTAGCCATCCGCTACTTTTTTTTCTTCCCCCTTTTCCCTTTCACCTGCGTGTACGCGCCGAGACTGCGCAACTGGACCCCTATCCTTATCTCCCTTCAACCCCCCTTTCCCTATCCCCTTGTACCAGTGCACCGAGTGCCGATTGTACACCAGCAGCACCGACACCACCACAGTAGGCAGTTGCAGCTTTGACAAAAGGTACCCTGGTGTGTGTGTGTGTGTGTTTTTTTTGTTGCCCACTGGACAGAGAAAACTCATCGTCGCGGGGGCGTCCGGTCTCTCTCTCTCTCTCTCTCTGTATCTTGATGATACTGCTGCCGCGGATACGGCACACAGTGTCGTAACGTGGGCGCACTGGGTGTACAGTGCAGAGAAAGAAAGAGAGAGGGATATTAACGCGTGCATTATAATGTATTCAGTGCGCGAGTGATGACAAAAGGGCATATCGGAGCGCGAGGGGGATGACGGGGACAATTGTGCGCACGTACTGGGCAAAGTGCGCGCGGAGTTGGTGAAAATAAGAGGGACCGACGCGTGTGTGGACAAGGAGAAAGAGAGAGAAAGAAAAAATAGAAAAAGAAGCGTTGTTATCAGTGCGAGGGTATACAGAGGAAGCAGGAAGGAAAAGACGACGACGACGACGACGACGAGGACGGTGAAGGCAAAAGAGGGAGGCAGGGGGAAAAAGAGTGAGATCAGCTAGAGGGTGCGGATAGCTGCTCGTCTATATGTACGTACACACATACACACGCGCGTATATACACACACGCCACTCCGTCGCCGCCTCCCTCTGCTCTCGCCCATGCGATCTGGCGCAGCATCAGCAGCGCTGCTCTCTTCTTTTTCTCACTGGGTGGGAAAAGTGAAGGAAAAAATAAAAAAATAAAAAAATAAATAAACAAGCTAACCAACCAACAAACAAACAAGTATACGGAGGCAGGCTTATTTTCCTCCCGTCTTCCAGAGCCACCCTCGTCCCAATACGTACACGGGTACACCTGAAACTGGGTACACTTACATCCGTGCACGGTGGCACGCATATCGTAGCGTCAACCTCTCTACAACGAGTTAACCAAAGGAGGGGGTGGGGCAGTCGGTGGCTGCTCTCGGCACTCCATACACTGGCTATACTGTATAACTGTGCTGTGCTGTGACTACCTAGTATACTTATTAATACATGTGTGCGCCTACATAAATATAAATAATTAATTGTACCGTGTGACTACGTGTTGTGCGAGTGCTCGTCGTTGTCGTTGTTTATTCACGCGGACAAGAAGCACCTGTACAAATGATATTGGTGATGCTTCATAAATATGTGGTAACATTGAAAAGGTGATTGCAGTGCGGATTTCGCGTGTAACCATCCCCGGAGTTGTATTATCTCGTTTTGTTGTTGTTGCCGGTGGGGGTGGGGGCGGGGCGCGGTGTCACAGTGCCACGCGTATATACATATATACACATATATACACATATACATATACATATACATATACACGTAAATGTATACTTGCAGAGCAGCAAAGGAGAATAGTTAATTGAGCAGCAGCGGCAGAACTCACCGAGAGAATCATCCAGCGGATCAGCAGGAGATATGCTCGGCGGATGAGCGGCCGCCCTCACGGGACGAGTTGACCGACTCCCCAGGGGATACGGCCTCAAAAGGTAAGTCCTCCTCCTTCTCCCGCTCCCTATATCGTGTACACACCCTCGTATATCCCCGTGTGAAATGTGTAGGTTGTTTTTGTTTTGGTACCTTTCGCGGTGTCTCTATTTGTCTCGTCGTTGCGGTCGCGTGACTTGTTTGCTTGCGTGTGCAACACCAATCAATTTCACTTCGACGTGCAACTGCACTGGCTCATCTCTCTCTCTTCCGTCCTGTTATCAATTTTCGACAGCCTTTCAGGCGTCCTCTGTAATATTATTAACGACGCGTATGGGGTGTGCAATGCCCGACTCAAGTGCACTCGCATATACTTTCGCAAGGGTAGCATACACTATCATTATCTCCCGTAATTGGACAAACAAACGCTGTTTATTTATATACGCTTTGGAATGTCAATCGGCAGAGTGGAAGCTCGTGTTTGTACTTTGGAAAAACCTGTAGGTCACTCCCACGAAGTAGTATAGCTAACGCTACCCTCACATGTACACATACACACACGTAGGGAGGCTGTTCAATTTTCTTGAAATATTCCAGCAAAGGAGCGACCACTGCGCCCGCAGTCGCAGCCATATGCGCGCTGTACTTTTTTTTTACTCCCGCCTCTCCCTCTTGCCTGGGAAAAACTGTTTCTTCGACTATACTGCGGCTTTTCATATTTCACACTCCCTTCCTCGTCTGTTTTTTCACATTGTGTGCGTGTGCTCGTCCATTCGCCCACGTATATGAGAAAATTTTCACTTTTATCAGAATTACACATTGCTTTAATTATTTACGAGTAAATTGTGTGTTTCTACTAACTCCCACGTTTGTTTGTTCTTTTTTAACGAAAAAAGCAATGCCACTCCTTTCACCATTTCGATCACTCCATCGTTGCCGTCATTGTTATTCATACGCAACTTTTGTGCACGCCACCCGTGGAACTTTTTCATATTCACAGTTCGCGCGCAACTCGTCCTTACATTTACAAGTTATCCCATTTTTCTCACGGCAAACGCAATTTCGCGCAGAAATATACATCTATTTTTTTTTTTTTTTTTCCTTTTTATTTTTGAGCCCTGCATTCAGTGCCAGCCCTAATATTGAGTTATACCACTTTTTTCCCGCTTCCTGCGCTACGCTGCGCCTTGTTTCCCACTCGAACTTCATCTCTTGCGTACAACGCTGGTTTTTCCCTACCATCTTCTCCTGCAATTTCAACCCCCACCCCCTCGCCCCTCTCTCGTTCTCTTTGCTTTTGAGTTGTTCAACTTTTCCGAGTGATACAGCTTTTGTTTTGCTCAACTGGCGCAGCCTCTTTTCCTTTTTGCGCGTCATGTTGACCCTACTCCGACTTTTATCTCTCTATTTTATCCATTTTTTTTCTTCACCCTTATCCTTTTCTCCCTCGCTCGAATGACGCTTTACAATGAACTTGAACTAATCACCCATCGTCATCATAATTTTAACTGCACCATTGAGTAGCAATTCTCACAGTCGCTCGATCAGCGAGAACCAAGCGATAACGCACAAGCCGGTTCGGCAAAAAAAGCCACAGTCTAGAGTTATACAATGTCCTTACACCGAGAAACGTCATTTAATGAGAAAAAACATGTATGCTTTACATCAAACGAAGAACTGGTCCGCGTTTAAAACGCCGGGCTCGATAATTCACGGTCTGTCGAGGCGATTGACCTGATCGATGACGCGAAGGGGTTGAAAAAACCCGTCCACGTGTCTCGCGCAACCCTACCGGTTCTCCAATAGCTTGAAATTGGGATGTCGCGGGGAAAAAGAAGAAAGACCACTGATTGTACATGTACTCATATTTTTACCGTAAAGCCTGAAAAAAAGAAGGGAAAAACCTTTGGAAACTCCCTCGTCTCGAGCCACATCAAACGGAGCGAGAAAGCTGGTGCACGACATCACATACACATACGTACACACGTGCGCGCGCGCGCATATGCAACTACCCCTCGTAAATCTCATTACTTCCGGGACGGATAGTCAAGAGAGGAGAGGCTGCAGCAGCTGCGGCGGTGGTGGCCGATTAGTCAATTTTCGCCGGACGACGCGCCCTTAAACTACCCCCCCCTCCTTCCCCAACCCTCTCTCTGTTGCAATCACGGAAGAGGCAGAGGTGCCAGCTTATGTGTACACAACCACGAGTAGCCAACAGAGCGCTTAAATGCCGGTGGCCTACGTTGTACAGCCTCTGATAATCAAGGCACCAACGAGTGTCCTATGCGAGCTATATATCCCCGGGAATTTATTTTCTCACCCGTAAAGTCCCCGCCGAAAAAAAAAGGGATGATGCCAAACCGTGTATGGTGTAGCGAGTGCGCGAGGGGCTACAGGGTTAACGCGCCAGGGTATTATCGTGTGTGTAGGTGTAACGTAGCGCAGCCGTGCATGCGCGCACTCCCTCCGCGCGAGTGCGCACTGCGAACAACCATCTGTGTACGTATATGGGGCAGAGGTGTTTACTTGTGTGTATGGGTGAGTGTGGGTAGAGTCGGAGGGGGTGGCTTTTTTTCTTTCTTTCTTTGGCTCGTTCGTTCCTTTGCGGCGCTCTAATTTACTTTCCTCTCTCTCTCTCTCTCCCTGCCCCTCTCGGCGGTTCTCTAACCTAGTTTTGCGTTCGACGGTGCGCAAGCCTAGGTTCCCTCTCTCTCTCTCTCTGTGGGAGTGCCTATGTGTGTATATATGTATGTGTAGCAGTCGGTGGCGGCGAAAAAGAAGAAGAAGAAGAAGAAGAAGAAAAAAGAAATACGTGCAATAGAGACCGAGATCTTGGGAATTAAGCGCCTGCATGGCCGGGACGCGGGGAGGGGGGTAGAGCCGGGGGCGCTTTTACCCCCTTTCTGGCTCCTCAGGCTCTTGCCTCCGAACGAGCGTGCGAGAGCCGTAGGAGATTGATTCTCTCCTTATTTTCGAGAGAGAGGGTACGTATAGTCTTCTCTGGCTCGAGGAGAAAACGAAGGCGCTTCCACGCGTCAAGTTCAATCGCTCGAGCTTTTATTTTTAGAATAATCTCGCGGTAGGTAGGCACGTACGTGTGTCATATTATACCGAGGTTTTTATTTATCGTATAGTCGTAGGACTTTGCCGGATGATCCTTTGAACGATGTCAACGTTGCTTTTTGTGCGCGGCTCGACGAATATCTGGGCGTCCTCCTACGCTGTACCCTTTCTTTCTTTTTTTTTTGTTTCTTTTCTCATTGCGGTGCTCCGGTGTGGCTTACATGTTCGTCTCCACTTTTTAATCTGGTGTGCGAGGTGGTACATATTTATCCGTACGTCGTCATCTTGGAAGGACAAAGGGGATGTACCTATATCAATGTGTGTATGTGTTTTTTTTTTTTAATTTTAGCTGAACATTTTAGATAAATAGTATGGATTTGAGTACTGTCAATCGGTAAAAAGAAAAAAAATGATTGACTGTGGTTGTCACTGGGCGGTCACTTGAATTTTACGTGCACACACCGAAAATCTGACAAAGCCTCTTTGTCTATCCCAGTAATCACGTTTCATGAGACTTTTTGGGATCCTCATCGAATATTGAAGGGGGTTCATCAGAGACTCTGGAGCTAAAAACACGAGCACAAAGTTGTTTTATTAAAACATGACCGATAAATTCAAGGCTGTTGAATAACAAAAGGGTTTTCGCCCGGTTAAAAATAATCGTCACCTTGAAGCGTAAATAATACATACCACCAGCTTACTCGCCAAAAGTCTGTGAGAAGCTCTAAAAGTGAGTAATTGTTTGGCATGTAATATGGCATTGTGTCTCGATCGAGCACGTAAATCTCTCATGAGACTTTTTGCCTTAATTATTCGTGGTAATGAAAATTCTTTGTTTCCGAAATAAGAAAAAAAAAAAAAAAACACTCGTGAACTAATTAAAGACCATTGTTGCATTTCCAGTAATGAAGAAAATAAAAAATTGCTTCAACTATACCATCAACGATGAAGCAATAAATGGTTCGTACAATCGGTCCTAACATCCTCATAAAAACCCGAAACTCATGTTTCCCTATTCATTAATTAAAAAAACAAACAAACCTCGAAAAAAAAGAGCCAAACAACCCCTTGAACACGTGCCCATATCACCCTGTCTCCTTATTGTCATCCCCGTCGTTCGAATAACTCTCAGTAGCCCAACGTAATATAACAACAGCACTAGTCACAGGTACAACCCCATCGACAGGATAGGTATACAATAGGCCCGAAGTACATATACATATACCTGTATATAAGTGGAAGTAAGAGAGCCAATAAAGTCCGTCCGCGGAGCTGCTGCGTTTGATCTATATTTAATCGAAGGGGCCGGGCCCGCACTCAATCCTCGCGCGACTATTATTTCGAAAACACGTCTCGGGGGAGGGCAAGCAGCCGCTGGTATACACTGCCGTGTGGTTTACAGTAGTCATCGTACCACTTGCTCCCCCCTTTCCTCCCCCCCAACCCCTTAACAGTGGCGGTGGTGTAGTTCCGTGTGGACAAAACATCACTTCATCAGAACACTATAATGCTCTACAGTACAAGCAGCAGCAGCTCGTTTATACATATTCAATTTTCGTCCGCAGATCGAGCCGGGGTTACATATGACACATGGCTCTCATCCCGAGAGAGAGAGAGAGGAAACGGAGCCCCAGCGAACAATCGATTTCACCGCTCGTCCTCCTACTCTGTCTCTGCTTCTCTCTGATGATGTATATACATCGTGTGTAACCGTGTCGCGTCGTCATCGCCGTGGTCGACTTTACATAACGGGAGGCGGTGGCAGCCTTTTCGGGGGAACCCATACACCGTAGGTACTCTAGATCTCGCGAACCGAGCCCCCATCCACCGATGCCTCTTTTTCTCTCGTACTCCCTCTCCAATGGTTATACCTTGGGCGTATCCCCCCAACACCACCGGGTCCAGCAAATATGCATCGATTCCTCGATTTGAACAAATTTTTGCCGCCGGATAACAGAAGAATTGAGCGAGAATGCGCATATTTTTAGCGACTCGGAAC